AATTTCAATCGTGGCCGTGGGAGAGGAAATTGGAAACAAGGGAATTGGAAACACACACCAGGGAGAAACAGACAATCTGCTCGATCAGTCAATCATGAAGATGAAACAAACAACACAGTAGCTGGCGCTACACACAAAACAAGTAGTGGGGAAGAATACACCTTCCTGCTATCGAAAACAAGTCTGGTTGACGCACCATTTTTCGACATTTCAGTTTCTGGTTCCCCGATCCGAATCATGGCTGACTCTGGTGCTACAGTGAATATTATGAACAAGTGTGACTTTGACAAACTCAACCCGAAACCACAACTTATTTCATCCAAAACCAAAATCTACCCCTATTTGTCCATATCACCATTGAACATTTTGGGGAAATTTGAAGCAGACCTGGCTTGTGAATATTCAGACAGGGAGTGTAGAGAGACATTTTATGTTGCGAGTGGACCAAGTAGCTCACTAGTCAGTTGGAAGACATCACAGAAGCTGAACCTCATTCGTGTGGCCAACAACATACACGTGTCGACTGGTGAGAAGTCAACCCCAAAAAAGTCAACAGAGAAGTCGACTTTGCCGTCAATCATACAAGAATTTCCAAATGTGACAGAAGGTATGGGTGCATACATGGGAAATCCTGTCAGAGTCTACGCTGACCCGAACATAAAACCAGTAACACAACCACATCGCAGAATTCCATTTCACGTTCGGAAACAGGTGGAAAAGAAAATCGAAGAGCTCGAGAAATCAGATATCATTGAGAAATGCAACGGGCCGACACCATGGATCTCGCCGATTGTTGTTGTACCGAAACCGAGAAACCCAGATGACATACGCATATGTGTGGATATGCGATCTGTGAACCGTGCTATCATTCGTGAACGCCACATTATACCCACGATTGATGACATCGCAGCAGACCTCAATGGCTGTAAGTTGTTCAGCAAACTTGATCTCCAGCAAGGGTACCATCAAATCATGCTACACCCTGATTCTCGGAATTTGACTGCATTTTCCACGCACATTGGGCTTTACCGGTACAAAAGGCTCAACTTTGGCATGTCGTGCTCAGCCGAAATATTCCAAAAAGTGATTGGAGATGTGATCCAAGGCATCCCAGGTGCTCGCAATATCAGCGACGATATCTACATTGGTGGTAGAAATGTTTCGGAGCATGATCAGCGCCTACGACAAGTGTTACAGCGTCTGTCTGACTGCAACCTGACAATCAATGCATCAAAGTGTGAGATTGGTGTGCCTAGCATGCTATTCTTCGGTCATCGATTTAGCGCAGATGGTATCTCACCTGATCCAAAGAAGGTGGCAGATCTACAGACCATCCAACCACCAACAAATGCCTCTGAAGTTCGCAGCATTCTGAGTTCAGCGTCATTTTGTAGTCGTTTCATCAAAGACTTTGCTCTCATCACGAAACCACTGCGTCGACTCACGTGCAAGGATTTTCCTTGGACTTGGGGTGAAACCGAACAACAAGCTCTTGACAGGCTCAAAATGGCGTTATCTGAAAACATAACGCTCAGTTACTTTGACCCCGAGAAGCCATGCATGTTGTTCGTAGACGGAAGTCCCATTGGGCTTGGCGCGGTGTTGACACAGAAGGATCCTGTCACAGGCGAAGTGAAACCACTTCATTTTGCAAGCCATCCACTCTCTGACACAGAGTCGCGCTACCCTCAAATCGACAGAGAAGCACTGTCTATCTATTGGGCAATCAAACGTTTCAACTTGTACCTCTACGGTAAAGAGTTTACAGTTGTGACTGATCACCAACCATTGGTATCACTCTTCAACAATCCAGCATCAAGACCATCGGCAAGAATCGAAAGATGGCTGATGGACTTACAGACCCGGATCAAATAACCCGGCAGACTACGCATCACGTCATCCTTTGCCTGTTTCAGACCGATCAGGAGAGGAAGACCAGTGTGCTGAAAGTTATGTCGCGTACGTCTCGCGAAATGCTGTTCCCAAAGCCATGACACTTACCGAAATCGAGAATGCAACATTGCATGATCAACTCCTGCAGGCAGTTATATCGGCTCTGAAATCTGGAAGGTGGCACGAAACCCCACCAGGCGTGTCACTGGCAGAGATGAGTAGATTCGAGAAAATCCAACATGAGCTTACCTATTCTGACACGATTCTCTTAAAGTCCAATCGGATCGTTGTGCCAACATTACTCCAGGAACGTGTGGTTGATATCGCACATGAAGGGCATCTGGGCATTGTAAAAACAATCGCATTACTCCGTGAGAAAGTTTGGTTCCCGCTTATGGACAAATTGGTCACTCAGAAAATAAAATCATGCTTACCGTGCCAAATAGCTGTGCCAACCATGCAACGAGAACCCCTGAAAATGTCGCCCTTACCAAAAGCTCCATTTGAAAGGGTGAGTGTTGACTTTGCGCATATTGATGGTGAAACCGTGTTACTGCTGATCGACGACTACTCTAGATACCCATTCGTCGAACCAGTATCCATCACAAGTGCATCGTGTGTTATTCCCGTGTTGGACAAAATCTTTGCAGCAATGGGAACACCCGAAGTTGTCAAGTCTGACAATGGCCCACCATTTACCAGTGACGAATACAAGAGATTTGCCAATTCACTCGCCTTCAAGATACAAAGAGTTACCCCTCTTTGGCCCCGTGCAAACGGAGGCATTGAACGCTTCGTTGGCTCCTTGAAAAAGCACGTGAAAGTGGCAAAGGCAAAAGGTGAGAACTGGAGAAAAGGTTTACAATCTTACCTCCGGTTGTACAGAACATCGCCTCATGAGACTACAGGAGTTGCCCCAGCGACATTATTGTTGAAACGAATCGTCAGGAACAAGCTACCACAGCTTCCCTACATCGATCCCTTTGCAGAGATTGTTAGCAGTCGAGATGCTGAACAGAAACAGAAAATGAAAACCTACCATGACCACAAACGGAATGTTCGACCGTGTAATCTACAAGTTGGTGACAATGTTTTGGTACACAGACCATTCAACATGGTGAAAGGAAACACACCATATGAAATTGACCCCATGATCATTGTGTCCCAGAAAGGCAGCATGTACACCGCAGAAGGAGGAGGGAGAACAGTGACGAGAAACTCATCTTTTTTCAAGAAGCTTCCTTTAATGAACAATCAGTCAGATGATGACAACATGAGTGTCACTAGTGATGTTTACCAGCCTGAGAATGTGATCCAGCACAACCCCGGACAGCAGATGTACAGTCCGACCCATGACATTCCTGTGTCGACCCAGGCAGGTACGCGTGATGTCAAAGTGTCTGATGTCCCATCAACGGCTGTCGATGTCAAAGAGACAGTAGTCGAACGTGATACAAGTCGCTCGAGTCCAGATAAACATACTACAGTCCGCAGATCAACCCGTGTCCGTAAAGTTCCGGATAGATTGGTTCTTTAAACAAACAAACAGTGACTGTGTTTGCATATTTTTGCTGGGTTTTTGTTAAATGTTGATTTTAATTCCTGAAATTCATCAGAGTGCATATGTTGTGATGTGATTTACATCAGCAAGAAAAATGGCAGTTTTAGTTATTACGGTCTAATTTGGAACTGTAGGTGAACAAGATATGTTCTGTGGACCAATTTTAATTTGTCTAAGTGAAAGCAGTGATGGTCAGAGACTTTACAGAGACCAGTGACAGTTATAATTTAATGTGCATCATTACCAAGTTACATTCTACAAAGAAGAGGATGTAATGTTTACGTTCCGTATTATACTCAGAATATGTGTTCCGCTACAATATGGAATCCGGGTATTAGTGTTACCCGAAACCGGAAGTCAGGTGTGTACGATCAGTGAATAAAAACCAATCATCATCACCTCGTGCTCTCGTGGTTAATGACAATACATCACACAGGGGTCACAAATATAATAGATATTAATTGAATAAAAAATTGAACAATTAAGAATGAGAATTTCGAGAACTTCCAGCATTCCGTGTACATGCTACAGCACACTATGCGGACTGAACAACTATGCAAGTTCAGTCACCAAAACGTGAATGTCGGATCGTTCTTCTTGTCATTTAAGAGGGATTAATGATACAAATTATGCAAATAGTTTTATATATTTAGCAATTATCAACTACTGCGGGGAACTATAGTTTAATTTGATGAAGTAAATTGATTACGATATGATCATGTTGTAAATAAATATTTTCGAAGCTGTCAGGATATTATTACCTGTGGAGTCATTTTCATTTATTAAGTATTTCAAACAGTCCTCTCTCTGATCTGTTTAGAGTGCTAGATAAGTGAAAGTATGCAGGTTTTAATGTAAGTGGTTTAGTATCATTACATGCCTCTTTAATGTAGCCGATATATTGCTTACTGGCGTTAAACAACATACATTCTTTAAAATCGACCGTTGCAGTGTTCCCAGAAGTGGATAAATATCTTTGTCTTTTGTCACGGGAGGTTCTCCTTTCAAATCAGACTGACATTTCACGATGTGCCGTATTTCCTCTAATTAATGTGACATTGTTATATTGCAGTGTAATTTATTGTGAAACAATGTTGTAATTGTATTACAGTGTTACAACATCACCATAACATATCTTGTGAACCAAAGCATAATTGGCACCCCTTTAGAAACCGTATTAGTATTAGCAATAGAAGTAGTGACCTGGTCTCTCATAGACGTGTCGACTCCAATATACGTCGGGCCGTCATACTGCCTGACTAAAAAACCCGGCATCTATCAGAAGAAATATTGAACTGAAACATAGCCGAAAGCGACCATGCACACAGCTGTCAATCAGTCCTTAATTCAGGTTTTGTTTGCACGTTCTACTATAGATTGATTTAATACTATTGCACAGTTTTTCTTAGTACTATTAAAAGGTTTGGGTTCAAACCCTTACTCGTCAAATAAAGTAATCCCTAAAAGCAGGGAAATCCGACGACAAACAGCAGCTGTTGTGGACCGTTGCTCAAATACTCAAATGTTTTCAACAACAAATAACTGATAGGATGCAAGTTATTTATTTGCAGACGCAGCTACATTATTATTGAGGCCTATACCCTATGTACCGTTTGCATGGGGTGACTCCATTCTTGACCAAAGTTATGGCATTTTGGTCCTTGATGTCCAGTACATGGTGCATGTTCGATGCCAGTGTTCTCATTATACCCACATTCACGTCCGACGTCACTGCCACGACAATCACCTGAGCTCTCATGCTCAAACGCCAGCTGTTTCTGTAGATATTTGCCCCGCCATTGGCTTTTCCATCGGTGAAAATTAAGACAACGTTTGGAGCCTCTGCACGATCGCCATGGGCCGGTTCGAAGATATCAGACACTGCCAGTAAGATGGCATCACCTAGGACTGTGCGTCCACCGGTACCACGTTGAGCAGCAAGAGCTGCTAACAGGGTTGATTCGTTTTGGTATGCATTCAAGTGGAACCCAACTTTCGCAGTTTGCCCTACAGACATAAAGGCGACGTTGGTACCTTTTGGACTTATGTCGAGTCCACTGACAACCTGCATGACAAATTCCTTCATCTTGATATAATCATGTTTCATTACTGAGGTAGATACGTCCTCTATGATCAGAACATCCAGGGGGAAGGGTGTACATTCTAAAACAAAACAAAGACATCATTTTAGATCAATTCTTCAATAATTTGACAAACACTTCAGGAGAGCAGTATTTTACTCGCAGCATTCGTTTGATTGGAAATCAATTACTCCTCACACAAAGGTTTCAAGTTGATACACCCCAGCGATGGTGTCAGTTGCACCTACATAACCAACTTGTTGAGGTTCATTCGTGATGGTAAGATAACTTGAGGTGAATATGACTCTGAAGTTTTACTTAAGCTTCAGGGATATCGATGATCTGATGTCGTTCATTAACAATCAAAGAGCCAAATCCTTTCCACTGACTTACGTACATGAACTAGAAATAAAGGATATCAGTGAGACCGCCTCAATGGTTTCATATTTAGATCTATGCATAAAGATTCCGAGTGAGAAAACAGTATCCAAAAGACAACAAGGGGGATGACTTTCCAAAAGTCAATTTTCCCCTTCCTGTCCAGCAAATATTCCAGCTGCTCCAGCCTTTCGTGTTTACATTTCACAAGTTTTGAGATACAATTAAGCATGCTCTTTCTACCAAGATTTCAAAGAGCGTCAACATTCAAGGCTTCAGTAAAGCTTTCAAAAGGTTTTATGAGGGACATGTGGAGGACATTTCCAAATTTGACGCATAATTGACAAACATGATGTCAAATGCAATTCCATGTTTTTATAAATTCAGTTTCTTTTAATTGTGCTTTGTAAAATTATGCTTGATGTACGTTTTTACTTCCGTGAGAGGGTTGTGTGGAGGTCTCGTGGGGAAAGCATTGCTTGTCAAGCTGAGGAATAGGGCTCCACACAAGGGGTCTCTGTGTGAATGCAATATATTCTTTCTCCTACTATGGTTTCATTGGTTGGTGGAAATACACGCGGCGGGTTCAGTGCTGACAACCTAGAAACATACTAAGGGATAAAATCGGGTTCGCTCCACTATCAAAGGTTTCTGGCACGAGTAGGGACGCAACTCTGCATAGCGAATTGCAACGGGTAAGATTATTGTGCAATCTGTGTGCTATGGAATGGAATGAAACAAATCATGGCGAACTCAAGAAGTTATACTTTCATAATGGTGTAATATGGTAGGCGATTTAATATCTCAATTTTTGTTATAAACATAATAATTCTTCTACCAACTAGGTCACTGGGAACTGAATCCATGTGTTACCTTTTGCCATATTTATTTTATTCTAAGCTCAAACGAACTGTTCGTATTGTTTGATAGGCATTACGTAGAAGTTGACACAAATTTATGGATAACAACTTCGTTAATACTGTAAAGGCGACGTTTCGGTATAGATCCTTATACCGTTATCAAGGATCTTTACCGAAATGTCGCCTTTACAGTATTTAAAGAAAGAGTTATCCATAAACTGTCTCTTCTTTGTGAACTGTTCATAGTGACACTATCTAATTTTCAAAATAAGAAAACGAAAGTGAAGAGCAATTCAATTATAAAAGTCTTCATGGATGCAACATTTGTTATACCATTATAGAGAATTGAAATATTAAAATCACCGTGGCTTAAACCATTTCATTGATTTCATTCAGTATTTTGGATGTTTTTTCAAAATAAGAGATATATATCACTTGGTAGAATGTTGATTTAATAACATACCGAAACAATGCGTGACGAGACCGTTCAGGTGGAAAATTCCATACAATTGTTTTTGCCCACAGGTCAATGTTTTCAGGACGAAGGGCTGGTAACACTGACCAGGGGTAAAGAAAGACTCGCACATAAGCATCATATCTCCGTCTGTCGCTGCAAGCAAAAAACAACACATCTATCTCCAGTCTTGGTTACACCTTACCTAAATGACTTGGAATCTTTCCTCTTTGAAGAAAAATGTGATGGCATGAATTTCAAAGATTATTACTCTCTCGTTCTCGATGGCCAGCCTAACTATTTATTGCTTTATATGCTGTTGACTCCGTTTTAGTGGCTAACAACAAGGTAGGTGCACAAGATTCCCACAGCCTTTAGACGATTTTACAAACCTAGTGTACTAAATATTTAAAATTGAGAAAAAAATATCAACGTGTTTGAATATTACATGATTTGCCAAAAGTGTGATAAATGTTCGGTTCTTGCAAGGAATAATTATAGTCCAAGAATCCTTCATAATCCTTAGTACATCCTTATATTTGTTTCTGTTTCCTTGCTATATTTTCTTAATATGAAGTCTCACATTGTTATTCTGTACAACTTGGTGTTAAGAGATGTGTACAGAGGGAAATAACGAATTCCAATATTTGTTCATCTGTGTTTTAGTAGAGCATGTAAATAAACGCATATGTGTGAACAGGCCCCATAAAACAAAATTACAAACCTAAGGTATATAAGGAAAACTCTGTTCCACATGCAAAATATGGATCACTATCAGCCATTGTCCATCCCATGGGTGCTTCATACCAGCCCGGAGCAATGGTGTCATTGTAACTATGAGGCACCGTGTTGCTTGGGGATCGTAGGTCCATGTCCGGTAACGTCCGATAGTTGTTGCAAGGATCTTAAATCAAAATATTTTCACAATGAACAGCTCCGAAACACACATATTATGTTGATGAACGTAAAACTGCACACCCTGTACTTTTTCCACTTCACATGTTTGATCGTATCACAAAAGTTGATCAAATGTAAAGGTTGAACATTAGTATTGCCAAACTTAAACTGTACAATATTCATTACATTACGCTTGGAAATTGAATTAACATTCTCAACATTAGTATGCCTTAAGAACGATATATGTGAGCCACAAGTGCACAAACGAGGGAATGTTGCTTCACATTGCAATATTCGGTATTTCAGCTGAAGCATGTGGGTCTGAAAATAACCGAGTCTGGACAAGGAAAGATGTAAGATCAATATAAGGATCATTGAAATCGGTGACACACCCAGCCATGTCACTCCGTATGACCATCAGATCCAATTGACGACAAACAAGGAGTACCATTGATAAACTGGGTACCATAGTAATAACATTATGTTTTAAATGTTTCAACGTCAATGCTCAGATTCTTTCGCAGTGTAAGTTATGAATAATAGAACGTTACGTCTATCAGGGAAATCCTAACGTAGCCATGTTAAACATGTCGGCTAAAGTCATACATTGATATCATTATATTTATAACCCTACAGACACACACTACGGTCAAAATTCCTTATATCATTCTGTTTCGTGTTTACAACTGGTCATATCATATCCTCATCGTATTTTGTAATTATCATTTAAGGTTTCATAAGGAATGCATGCATACCGCCTTGACAGGTAGGACCTGAAAATCCTGTAGGACATTCGCAGTGATAGCCGTCACGTCTGTTAACACATTTGCCTCCATTTTGACATGGTTGGAAGTGACAGAAATTGGGTTCTGAAAGAACAAATATTGCAGCAAGTGCTTGAATGTCTAGAAGTATATGAAGTAAACGAAATATGCCTTAAAGCAAATATATAGTAAAACCGCATCGCATGAAGTAAATAACATGAGCGTAACTTGCTATAATGTTAAAAACAAATCCTAGAGATTGATTTCGATCTTGATCAAGTTGCAAACTGCACAAAAGAAAGGTGCTCACATATGTAACACTAAGCATCGTTGGATTCACATATATGTGTGTGTGTGTGTGTGTGTGTGTGTGTGTGTGTGTTTGTATAATAATAACAAGAAAACATTGATGCAGAGCATCAAAGTTCCCCGCCATATGTGATGCCTCACAAACGCATAATTATGATGTTACTGAAAGGCATGATGGAGCATAATTATATTAACCACAAATAACACAACCCTGTTGTGGAAAAAAATATTATTTATTTTGAGTATTGGGCAATACAGTTGATACATTTGCATAGGGTAGGTCTATTTAAAAATAGTTTCTTGTTTAACGCCGCACTCAGCATTATTCCAGCCATATGACGGAGGTCTGTAAATAATCCAGTCTGGACCAGATCATCCAGTGATTGACACCAAGAGCATCGAACTACGCAATTGGAATATGCTGTTATGCATCGACCAAATCGGCGAGCCTGACTACCCAATCCTGTTCGTCGCCTCTTACGGCAAGCATAGGTTGCTGAACACCTATTCTTACCTGGGTCTTTATTTAAAAAGTAGATCGAAGGAAATGGAAGCAATTTCTGGCACAAATGTAAACATGTGGAAATAGTGTCAAAACTGCCAACAACATTGGCAGATGCACTTACTCAAAAAATAGATCACATTCTTTTTACACTTAGCATTTGGTTATAATAATGTAAATGAAAATACTAAGGGCTCCATATGGCAAAAAAAGTCATACTAGATAAGGTCTTTTTGTCACAAACACAGATGCACATACTCCAAATATTATCACGTAGTTGGAGAACATTTCAATACCGGGACTAATCAATAACGGAGATTCCTCGTCTCTTGTTTTACGTTTTTTGGTCAGTTTTTGTGTGTATTTCTTTCTTTCAAAGAATAGTAATTGTGATCATGATGAGTTGAGTTACTTGTTTTTTTTCTATATACTGTTTTTTATCCAGTGTCAGTAACTGTTGTGGAATGTGGTTTACTTGTAACAATGACTGGTTTGAGTTCATATGATGATGATTGATTGGTTTGTCGTTTAACGCCGCACTCAACAATATCCCAGCTATATGACGGCGGTCTGTAAATAATCGAGTCTGGACCTGAAAATCCAGTGCCTAATATCATGAGCATCGATCCACGCAATTGGGATCGACGCCTCTTACGACAAGCATAGTAGCCTGATATATATATATACTGTTAAGATGTAACATGACAATTCATCCATACTACTAAACAGAAGTAAAACCGCTTGTCCATTCGGATCAATCTGACCAAGACCATTCCGCTGATGACAGTCAAATAATGCATACGAATCGAAATCCGTAAAAATTGCAATGGAGACATCATTAAAAGTTACCAAAAGTGACGGGGATATCAATATTGCTTTTTGAAATGACTCTATGAAATTTGTTTTCCCTGCTTCAATATTTGGAGCACCTGTGACGGAGCCATAAAACTGATCTGTTATGTGGACAATATCGCTTGAGGCAGTGGCTGCTGGGGACTGATTATGACCTAAATACTCCTCATAGCCTTCGGTGTTAACTTTGTGGCTGTAGAGAGCTGTGCCTTCATGCAACAGATTATCGAGGTCAGTGGAACACGGTACAGACGCAAATAGATTTGAGCTATGGGACACAAAATATATGAATGACCAGAGCTACGGCTGTACATTGAATTCCATTAAACGGTTGAAAAATACTACAGCCTTGATGCAAATTCGCTGACACACTACTCCGATTTTGCTTTGACTTTGCTACCAAACGTTTCACATGTGGTTATGTGCGGTGCACTGATTAAAAAACACACACGGGGGACTGGGTTAATTCAAAATACGGAATATAACTATTCCAAATATTTCCAGTGAACATGAGCATCCAAACAATCAAAAGTGTGGTATGTAGAATATGGAATTCAGCCATATTACATTTAAATTGAGATGTCGTCGTTGTTCATGAATAAGCATATTCAGAACATATTTTTTATTATCCTGTTATTAACGATCTCCGGAGCACAGTTCTTCTTTTGTATACACCGTGAAAATCAGAAAATTAGTCCTTGAGGAAAAAAGGACATCGGATTACACATGAATGGTTTAATAATGTCAGCTAATGACCAGAAACGGTCAGATGCATCAATTAACTACATAAAGACGATTTTGAAGTATCTCTTATTGCTGGAAAAGAATAGCATCAACATTCGACGCACATGATTTGTATGTTTTGTTTCCGTAAATGCGTGGCTTGAAATTTCAAATAAACCAACATGTCGACATACATGCCACAAACTTAACGTTTCCCGTATACTTCCCCGCCTTAAGGGCGGGGAAGAATAATTATTCAATTATGATTGAACACAGTTTTAATTGGCTAGCGCTTAACTGAATAACGGACATGAAGTAGTAACATACAGTTACGTGACGTCATTACATTTAGGAGAACCATGACGTCACAATACCAACGGGACAATGGACAAATAACTTACGCCTTTACATTTAAGGTAGGCGCGTATTTATGAATGATATTTTACTCTTTTTGAAACAATGTAGGTTCATGATCAAATTTTGCTTATATAGCGGGAAAACTAATTGCCGCTTCCACATGTATCTAAATGTTCACTGAGTGGAATCTTGCGGTTGTGTGGCTGCTTTATTTGTGAACGGTGAAGATTCATTCTTCTTATTAATTTAAGTTCTGTCTTTCCGATATACTTTTCATTGCACTTCCACTTCAATTAATCAAGTAAATAACATTTCTAGTGTCACAAGTGATATTTTGTTTAACAGTAAATTTAATGTCCTTTGTAATTTGGACTTAACAGCCTTCAACTATATTGCTGCAAGTAAGGCAACGTTTGCCATCGCACTTAGAAACCTGTGGAGTGATGACAATAGAATCAAATTTAGAACTTGTCAAAATCTTTCTAAGATTTTTCGGTTGTCTTTGGCTGTTGATCATTTTGTATTTGCCCAATATCTTCTCCATTTTACTACTTTGTTTCAAAATAGGCAGGTATCGTTGAACCATGGATATATACAATGCGTTTTTGCTACACTGAGGTTTTCTACAATATCAAAATTGACTACTCCAACATCTTGGACTTCACATTATAAGATTAATGCAAACATACTTACGAAAACAAAAGGTACTTCCTTCAAAATCAGTTCTCAGGCTGTATACTTCAACACCGTTACAGATTCGTGTTTCTATCTCCATTTCTTGAGCACAATCGCTTTTCTCAGTTTTAATGCACACCACTGATGTGTCGTTTCTGAATTCTGAAGATTGAATATGTAGTGGTGAAATTCAATGATATTGTATCATAAACATGTCGAGACGTTGGTTACAAGTATAACATCATATCGTAATATGTCCTGTGGTATGAATTACCATATTGTGTCTTGATAGACACTTACCCACTTTCCTGATTTAACTACGACATGGGAATATAGTGTTCCGGGCGTTTACACTAATCATCCGTTCCATTCTTCACTCAAAGTATTTACAACAGGGTGTTTTATGTGCCAGTAATAGCGGGCTGAAATAACCATAAAAAGACAAAATGCGGAAAATGAACATGCCGTCAAGAGGAACATAAATATATTGGTGTATCAAGTATAACAGCAAGAAGTACAGGATATGGTTACGTTTTCTCCAGATTGGGTATTTCCCACCACATGCATCAAGCGCTGGAGCATATTCCAAGAGATGTCCACCATCCGATGCTCTATATGTCCTTGCAAGTTTTGTGTCATCCAAGCCAGTTTCCAAGCCGAAAAATGGCCATCGCTCCGCAAGTTTTGGAGCGAAAGCTGAACGCAGGCAGAAGTCTGAAAGATATGTTGTGAAATGTGAACGAGCCATGTATGTTTGATTATTATCGTATATAACAGTAACATGATATGCATTTGAAGGACAATATGCCTTGTGCTAATTCCTGGTTATAATTGTTTGTGGAAAGAGCCTACTAAAGTAGGGATAGGTCCCATGATGATTACATGGATAGATATATATGCCAAAACAATATCGGAGTGTTAATCCCGAAGCGATACAGGTGTCATTTGTTAACATGCACACCTAATTGTAATAACTGTTTAGAATGGTTGATACCTCAGTAGACATACACATATTGTTTGCAGCATGCTTGCGGTTTACATCAATGAAACCTCAAATCAAGTCGTTGAACTAAAAAATATAAATGAATGTTTTTATGTCATCAATGAAGTATTAAAGTTTTCTGCTATTTTTAGATGGAACATTTCCTCTCTTCAAGACATACATTATTTCACCAAAACACATTATTCTTCAGAATATCAAGAATGTTTGGATAAAACCTGAGTACAAAAGAATTTTATTTCAGCATGTTCAGGAACACATTATATTTCCCTAAACGTCACAGCACCTTCAATGATTGTCAAATCAACGACCCTCAATCGTGTAGGGCGGTATAGACTTACCATCTTCATCAGGTAGGTTTGGTGCTCGTTCTTGTGCTGAACACATGGATAACATGCACACAGCGAGGAGGATTGTCACCATCATTTTCTGCAAGTAAAGCAAACTTCTTCTTTTTTAAAATATAACTTGCCGCTTATGTTACGAAAGCCATAAGCATGTACATAATATATTGGAGGTTAATGCTATCAACGTGTCCCTAAGTGAAAAATTGGTTTGTTTAAACATTTGTGGTGTGTGGAATGGGATCAAGAATACACGCAGGCCAAGGTGAGGTGAGGTGAAATGGTGTTAACGTCGCGTCCAAGATTATTGCTCTTATATAGCGAAGTGCATGTAAGTGTGTGTGTTTGTGTGGCTGCTTGAACTAGTCCGGACTGATGCCGAGCGCCAGACATGGTAACAACAAGGTCCATCTCTTAACGTCTTTTGGTATGACGCGGCCGAGGATCACATCTGTTGATATAGCGTACTGGCACAGTTTAGATTAATGAATATGCTAACTTTTCAATAATCATTATTGACTTGCAATATTATGTACACCTATTTTTATAATTTAGGATTTGAACAACTGTCCTTGTGGTAATCAATCCGTTGTTATGAAAATCCACAGCACAATAACGCCTTTTTTAGCGCTTATCAAGTCAACAAGTAGGTGGATGTTGACTATTGTTAAAGTCTGTTGTCATATAAAATCAGTTGTATTCAATATTTTTAAAATATTTTTTAAAAGTCACTTAGACAAGATATTGGAGCTGCATCAACGGTGTGTGCATATACTGTAAACTACGGTTATATCGAACTCCAAGGGACAAATATCAACTGAAGGTTATCGCAAATGACCGGGACCCCAATAAAACATTTCGTTATATCCTTCACATCGTTATAAGTGTGTTCGTTATACACGTTGTTTACTGTAACAGAATGTTGAGTTGTGCTTGACAGGGCGATTGTAACGTTTACGTTATTTTGACACTAAAAATACATTGTATTCACTTGTATCAACACACCAAAATAACCACTACCAGCGAATTGCGACCTAAAGGGACCTTTCTGGCCCACAAGAAATGTCAAATTGTACACTAATGAAACTTAGTGTTAAAATGGCTCAAAGCTACCCATTTTCCTTTCTAACAATTGCAAATTTTAGATTTCCGACATCGTCAAAACATAATTATGGCTAAATGGAGTCAAAAAAGATTTTTAGAGCTTCGAAGAAACTTCTAAATTTGAGCAAGTCCGCGACCGAAGATGAATGTTTTACCATGTGTTTGTAATGATTTTATCGTCTATGAAAAATCGGTTTGGTTCAAAGACTTGCCTCTTATTGAATACATTGTATCCGTACCTCAATCCTTTAGTGTTGTCAGAAGTCTTAAATATGCAATTGTGAAATGAAGAAAGTTTATCTCTCATTCAGATGAACATTTCTAAATGTTTTGCTCAATTCTTGAGTTCTGCAGATGCAATAAGGATGAAAATAGTCCCTCGTCCTACGTTGTAATACATAGTGTTATTTTGTTAAGAGGAATAACTTACCTTTCTGTGGCGGTGCTCTCTGTCGTCGAGACGCAACTATCAACGACATCCAATGCTTATTTATATATTCTTGATATTTTAATAATCTCAGAATTAATCATACTTCCAGTTAACAAGACCAGAACAAGCTTGTATTTCTTAATATCTGAGAATATTAGAATAATTCACATTGATACATTCAACATGAACACCGAGAATTGTGTATTAGATTACTATCGGCCATGTCCTTTTGGAACTGAATCTTCATCCCTGATACCAACATGTTTAACTCTTTCAACACCGTAGGCCGGTTATCCGGCCAAGAAGCATCGAGTCCCCAGACACCGCAGGCCGGTTATCCGGCCAAGCCGTAGTCACGTCAAAATAGTATATATTTTTATGGACCTACCTGTAATGCCATTCATTTATTAAATCTATCACATTTCACAATGTCTGAAATGCATATTCCATTTTAATTTAACATTTTTTATCGTTAAATTAAAACATTATTCACTATTTCTCGCGATGTTATTGAAAATAAAATTCTCGGACACACATTTCGACAACGGGTCCACATCGAACACGTCAAAGAGGAAAATAAAGACGTTTTAAACAAATCTTTAAATATATTATACAAAGTAATAAATAAAATCAACAAAAACATATCTAAAAGTAATCAAACTTACATCTATATTATTATTTCCATCTTTTCATGCGATCGCGTGTAATGTAAGTCAAATGACATCTCGGCTTTCGTCGCCTTGAATTCTCGGCTCGGACACGATGTTTAATGCAAAAATATATGCATGAAAAATCTTTGTCACAGCTCGTTACCTAGCACGATACATTCACGAAGTTCCATATTTTTAATATATATCGTGATTTCCTGCTCAAAACGTTCAGAATAACACGATTTAACAAAATTCTTTCGCAAACTTCTGTAATTTATCGAACACGAGCTTGGTATCACAGCTGTAATTTGATTGGCTGCCTTAGGTCACGTGCTCAAAATTGACCAATCACGAAACTTGTAGCAGATTTCAGCAAGAAAGCGTCTTAGAAACCAATTTTAATCCAATGAAATCACTTGTTATAACTACGAGAAACAACCAGTCGATGTTACGAGCGTGTAGATGAAGGAATAAGCTTTCCAGCGATGTGTCATATGCCATTCTTCGACGCACGTGTTATTCATACGAAACCTCGAAAACAGGGGTATTTCTTCATTTTACTGAGCGGACAGTCGCTGTTATCGGGAAATGGGCGATCACAGAAACTATTTATAATTCTTTTTAAAATGATTTTCCAATTACGTAAACAATGAAAATAAAACAGAAATAGGTACGTGGATATTATGAAATCATATATTTGCCGAAAATCGTCAAGTTTTCGCTTCCTTGGTCCTTAATCTGGATGTTAACAACGTGTTAGCGTACATTTTTTATTTACAACGAATTTAATTAAGTTGTAAATGCACTTTTTTAAATAATGTGAAAAACATAACTTTCATAATTATAAACCTTAGGATCAGACCTTTCAAATGGTGTATAACATGTAGTAGCAAATATATTTTACAAGCAGGTATTTTCTTTGATAAATGTTGGCTTCATCTATCACACAAGAGTCTCTGGGAACTCGGTGTCCCAGCAGTAAACACTTCTGGTTGACTGGTGTTGAAAGAGTTAATAATGTTTTAATTAATTCCCAAGTTTCTGTCACAATATACAGATGGATACTCCCCTGACACGTTGTTGCCATATCCAATAATGAATAGTCAATGGTATTTTAATTTCAAACAATTGTTAATATAAAACACCGTCATATAATACTGAGAGAGATAGCGTGTATGTTTGAATAGGGTGGCTGGCACAAGGGAGTCACTAAGTGGTTGTAGATAGTGTTAAAGGGAGGTAGATCTGAGTAAAGTCATATGTATACGTGTAGGTGGTATGTAGATTCTTTACTAGTTAGTGATAAGAGGTAGTGTTATGAGTGGAGCTATTATGCAGTCTCAATAAATGACAAGGATAGATCACACAACAATTTAAAAATAATTTGATTCTGGCCGTCGAATCAAACATCTCATTTTCAGCACGTATCAAAGGTCACAATAAAGAAAAGTCTTACTTCATGCTGAAATATTCATTCATATCCCAACAAATTCAATTGAATGTTTCACATAATCCATTACACCCATTTGTTGTACAAAGTACACGTTTTGCCGACATGGCATATTCAATCAATGTTTCAAATATCGCCGCGTGGCACGTCAATCCCGACCTGGGAGATGACCACTTTGTCTTGATCCTAACTGAAGAGACGTGCGGCAAGCTTCGACGCGAGCTGACATTTACAATGCATGTACGCGACTTTTCATAATTTCGTTGGGTCTGAAACTTGTATTCATCAATCGCTTGCATATTGTCAATACATTCTGACGGGAATAATAGGAAATATAGAGCCCCGAACAAGGATGTATATATTAACTATTTTGTATTTCTCGTCAGCGGTTTGTCTAATTGCTGGAAATATCAACATTGTTGTATGTAACCTGCTCTAACACAATATTATGTACATATTATTTTGAGCTTTTCAGCATTATGCAAAATTATGAAAATATTTAATAGTTAATTTCCCACGGTTCCTTCATGTGAGTGTACCAGAGCTTACATACAGGCAATGTGAAGGTGTGTAATAGGTCAGTGATAATCACTGGCAATCTCTACACAAGCAACATTGTTGAATTCGCCATACTTCTAACCTTTTGTTTGATAGAGGGTTCAACTACTCTCGTTGGATAAAAGATTTATTCACAGAGCCGTACACATGTCTGACATCGACGATGCATGAATGTCAACAGACACGTACATTCAAACATCAGGGGCAGTTAAATCTGATCATCATGTCCTGTCAACAGATATGTATAAGATGAGGCCTATAAAAGTGCAAATAAAACGTCCATAAAATATCAATACACAGCGGCTTAAGTTTACATTCTAACAAACCTATAAAAAGGCTTGAATGTGCATTTCATGAAAACAAAGGAACACATATATATAATATATATATAGCATCTATATCTTGCTATTATACAAGAGTGGGTTAGAATGATCTAGTGTAGGGGGGAAAGGTGGTTGACCAATGATACATGGAAAAATGAGTAGAACTGTGACGTAAGTGCCGGTTTAAAAAGGGCCCAAAGCCCCAGATCGAGAGAGCGGCTGGGGAGACTACATCTGGACTGGTGCTCCGCTCTCGGCTTGTTGTCACAATCTTCGAACCAAAAACCAAGCTTAGGCACCAGCATTTCGACTGAGACTGAAGCTTTGCGGCCGAAGTCTCGTATTTAGGTGACAAATAGAGTGGGTTGACCGGCAACACAAAGTGGGAATAAAAGCTGTTAAACGAAGATAACTTTTTGTGCTTGTTGGGGTAACTACGGTAATAGGTCCAAGGCCCTCGGGTACTGACATTGTACCTCTCGCACATCCCAGACTGTCAGCACCGAGAACGAGGTTCAGATGAAGAGGTACACGACTGGCTACCTTCCGATTACGCAAAGCAAAAATTACCGTCGATAACCTCTTTAAAATTACCTTGGACACATAAGCCCAGTGACCGATGGCAGATAATTCTAAAACATTTTAGTTTTAAAGACATGAACACACAATGCCATTTAGAAAGTGGTCAAATGTAACAAATGTTACATTTGGGATAACACTTTCTGAGTAAAGTTCAGATTCTCGTATTTTTTTGGGTAGAGTCCCGTCCGGGATTCAAACCGGGATTCAAACCAACACTGCCAGAGTGAGGCACCAAATCGCCAGCACACAAAGTCAGCGATCTAACCCACTCAGCCACCGAGGCTTCCACAAAAAATGGAAGTCCGACAAATGATAGTCTAACTTTCGGATTTTCGTTATGCTGATGTCCGGTAACCTATGCCAGCGAATACATGGGTGGGATGTTGTCGTGACTAGCCGACGTCAAAAGAAGCTGAATTGCTAGCTGCCGCGTTGCAGCAGCTCTGTCACAAAACGTGCATACACACAAAAAATATGCATTATAAAAACCATCACGTAATTGTTCAACGTGATGATCGCCGTTGATAGGTGTCATTCGAGATAGTTGGGTATATCTCAAGATCACATAGTCTGGATTTTGAAATTCATTAACAGAATTGAACATTTATCTGCTAGGTCCTATGTTGCAACTTTAAACAATTTGAAGGCCAATCTGACAAGAAATTGTTCAACAACAGAGATACTCCGTGATTTAGAACGCAGTACACTATTTCTTAGTGTTATATAGTAAACATTTTCTGAATTACGTATCATATTTGTAACGATTAAGGAAAATACCCTGCTGTCAACAGGTTTGTGCACCATAGATGACTTTATGCGCACATCCTTTTTTCGCAGTTCAGAACCTGTTAGAGAATTGCAATATTCAAAATAACATCAAAGAGCTATTTCAATAAAACAAATTAGAGATTCAGACATTGCAGCAAAAATAGCCCTGTGGTTCAAATGTAGTACATATACCAAACTGTTTTGTTGGTTTAAGGGGTATCAAGATTTTACACACAAATAGCGTATTTGTATCCAACATACAAAGACTCACAGTTTTCTATTACAAGACATATTCTAAGACAAGTATGGAAGGTTGGTGAATTAACATACTCATGTACAGTTGCAGAAAGTGTGTCCCAGTGATGTCTTTGTCCTCGGGAAGGATTTCCTATGCGCCTCCTCGAGCTGTCTGAATTATAAATGGCCCCGATAAAGATCAGTGAGTGAGTGAGTATGGTTTTACGCCGCTTTTAACAATATTCCAGCAATATCACGGCGGGGGAGCCCAGAAATGGGCTTCACACATTATACCCATGTCGGGAATCGAACCCGGGTCTTGGGCGTGACGAGCGAACGCTTTAACCACTAGGCTACCTGATAAAGATCAATGCGACAGTTACGAAAATAGAACATAATTTAATCCTTAAACTGCTCTCTGCCAAAATAGTCCACTTACATGATGATGATGAGTTTCCATGTAATACATAACAATTGCATCGTCACCGGATATGCTTTTGCTTATCAATATGCTTTTGAAAGCACGTGGCATAATGTTCCTGAACGTGAATCACAGCATTGTAAAATATGAAGTCTGGGAAGGCAACAAAATTGTTTTACACCTTTTATTAAAAAAAACATATCAAAGGAAGAACATTTCAATTCATGACAGCGATGACAAAAGTTAACTGCAAATATAACACACATTGGGAATGATCAGACAAGTACCCAGTACACTATTACAAGTTGATAATATTAGTTGATAATAAGCGTAGTTGACGTAGATTATGGCAGAAATACTAGAAAAGCGTTTAAGAAGGTTAACAAATGTGGAAATACCTGAAACGTTTAAGGAGCAGTATCGCTAAACACTGGACTATATCGAGGTACATAAATGTTGATCCAGTTTCGGATGTATTTTCTCACAAACGCTAAAACCCACATACAACTATGATCACGGGCAAGGAAAGTAAGAGCCATTAAGAGTGAGTGAGTTGGGTTTAACGCCGCTTTTGACAGTATTCCAGTTATATCGCGGCGTGTCAGCTTAATGTGGGAGGAAAGCCCGAAGTGATGCAGGTCTCAGACGTTTACCACTTCGGTGAAACCCACGAGCACGGGTATGGTGCTGACAAACCTAGAAACATAATCGGGGCGAACCGGGATTCGAACCCACAATCATAGGTTTCTGGCGTGCCCAAGGGAGGCAACTCTGCACAGCAAATCGCCTTAGACGACTGGGCCACCCGTGCCATTATGAAATCGAAGTGAACCTTGTAAACAAATGAATGGCACTAAGATTCAATCTGTAGATTCTCATAAACACCTTGGACTTACTTTGCAAGTGATGGTCAGTGGCAATTGTATATTAATGAAATTATTACCAAAGTAAACCCAATGGTAAATTTCTAAAGAAGTTTCAAATATCGGTTCAATAGAAACAGCCTACAGACGTTGTATAACTCTTTTATATTACCAATATTCGATTACTGCGATAACATCTGGAACATTTGTACTAAGGGCCAAGAACTGCTTTAAGAAAACACTTGTGTATCTGTCAGAGGAATGGGTCATAGTAAAATATATAAAGCCCGAATACATAACAAGTTTAATCCCTGTTTCATGAACGAAACATATATTATTAGCAATATTTATCCTTTATTTCAATCCTGTGTTACTAGAAGGAAATAAACTTATACACTGTAGAATCGGACCTAAATGTACATAAGTTTGTGACATAGAACTTTTAGATCGAAAGGAATTAATAGATAAAAGACATTTCACTTTTATCACAAGAATATTCTGGCCATTTCATACTTATCATTGGATTGGTTCCATGTTATCGTCGATCAATTAATGAAACAGGCAGAGAGGTAAGATACTTTTCATTTGTAGCATCCGGAATGAGTCACAAAATCAATAGAGAGATGTTCAATCTGGCACGGAGGCTTCTGTATTTTTCCGATTACGACAAACATGAGTTCATGGTCAGATCTATCTTTTAACCAATGAAAATGAGGTATTGTGACATGTGACAAAGACAGGTCAGGCCCGAACACTATGAAATGATACCTTTAACATTAGGAGAAAAGAGCGTGGTTTGCAATCATCGAGTTGTATCCCGATCGTTCTAAGCTTTCCCCATTTAGTGACGAGTCTGGCCGGTCTGATCCTGTCGTGTATTGATAGATGGGCTGAGAGTAAGTAAAACAATGTGAGTATAAAGCTGGTGTTGCGTTTCTTTATTATGCGAGTATGAATCCTGATGGAGACAACTTATAGTACGCGTCGTTAGACCAATCACTCCTTGACTGAGCTGAGCCGAGGCTGACAGGGCGAGTTGCAAAGTCAACTGACCGTGATGACCAAGAACGACAGTACTTTTAGAAACTGTATTAGGGTCGCATTTGACACCCGAAAGCAGTTACGACATTAGGCATTAGGCATATTGACGCTACGCTGTGGTTGTCTGCGAGATATAACTTCTGAAACATATGACATAATAATCTGATAATTTAGTAATGTTATGCCATTTTTGGAATATTTTTTCTGACGTACAATCGACACTTGTTTCGCGTGGATGATACTATCAGCATGTTTTGAAAACTAACGATTTTGAGGATAAGAAACTATTTTAATGTAAATATAACAACACTGCACACACCGATTTGCTCGTCATTGTTGGATGTCCATCTTAAAGTAAAGTGAGTGCGAGCGAGATTTGTTTAAGGCCATTTTGAACAGTATTTCAGTTATATCATGGCGTGTCAGCTTTAGGAGGAAAGCCTAAAGGGATGTTGGTCTCAGACGCTAACCACGTTGGCTATACCCGCGAGCATGGGTATATTAACCCATGAGAGACTATCACCATTTTATGTATATGTGTTCAAGTTGGGGTGCGAGCACTTGTTATGATAGTATAAATTCATATTCCAAAAATGTCCAAAAAGAAATGAGAGATTATGACTATTGATCGTGGAATACGTGAAGGAATGTCATCTTATGAAATGTGACTGGAAGAGGGGTTTAACGTCGCGTGCAAGATAATTGCACTTATATAGCGACGTATGTGTGAGTGGCTGCTTGTACTAGTCCGGACTGATGCCGATTTATAGTGCTAGCTCACTGAGATACCATGCCGCAGTGTAACATGAATACCCCACGGTAGATTTGGCTCTACGCCGCTGATAGAAATATCCCACTAAGCTCCCCCCTCGCCACGTCACATGATGACGATGTAGGCATACACAATATGTCTTATAATCAAACACACTTTCGCAAATACTGATGATCATTGATGATGTCCATTTTGCCTGTGGCTGACGATATTCAAACCTATAATCAATATTGGTACGTGTGCAACAATTGGGACGGATAAATCTGTATTAATAGTCATAGTACATGGGAGGATCAATAGTTGTAGTAGTTTGGAATGTAACACGTTCTGTTGTGGTAGTTTCCGGTGGCTCTACCATGACCCTGATATTCTCGTCATCATAATACGGTATACTTGTTGTTGCTTTTACAGTCGCTTCTGTAGTGGTCGTGGTCTCTTTTGATGTCGTGTCAGCTATCGTCGTGGTTGCCTTTCCTGTCGCTTCAGGAGCTGTGGTCTCCTTTACTGTCGCTTCAACTGTTGTGGTCTCCTTTACTCTCGCTTCAACTGTGGTGGTCTCCTTTACAGTTGCGTCTGCTGCTGTGGTCTCCTTTACTGTTGCGTCTGCTGCTGGGGTCTCCTTTACTGTTGCTTCAGCTGTAGTGGCCCCATTTACTGTCACGTCAGACGTTGTGGTCTCCTTTATTGTCGCTTCATCTGTTGTGGTCTCCTTCACTGTTGTGGTCTCCTTTACTGACGCATCAGATGTCGCTGTCTCATTTACTGTTGCGTCAGCTGTAGTGGCCTCATTTTCTGTTGCGTCAGCTGCAGTTGTAGTGGCCTCATTTTCTGTTGCGTCAGCTATAGTGGCCTCATTTAATGTTGCGTCTGCTGCTGTGGTCTCCTTTACTGTTGCTTCAGCTGTTGTGGCCTCATTTAATATTACGTCTGCTGCTGTGGCCTCTTTTTCTGTTGCGTCAGCTATAGTGGCCTCATTTAATGTTGCGTCTGCTGCTGTGGTCTCCTTTACTGTTGCTTCAGCTCTTGTGGCCTCATTTAATGTTACGTCTGCTGCTGTGGTCTCATTTTCTGTTGCGTCAGCTATAGTGGCCTCATTTAATGTTGCGTCTGCTGCTGTGGTCTCCTTTACTGTTGCTTCAGCTGTTGTGGCCTCATTTAATGTTACGTCTGCTGCTGTGGCCTCTTTTTCTGTTGCGTCAGCTATAGTGGCCTCATTTAATGTTGCGTCTGCTGCTGTGGTCTCCTTTACAGTTGCATCAGCTGTTGTGGCCTCATTTAATGTTGCGTCTGCTGTTGTTGTCTCATTTACTGTTGCGTCAGCTGTAGTGGCCTCATTTACTGTTGCGTCTGCTGCTGTGGTCTCTTTTACTGTTGCTTCAGCTGTTGTGGCCTCATTTACTGTTGCATCAGCTGTTGTGGCCTCGTTAACTGTTGCGTCAGCTGCAGCTGTAGTCTCATTTACTGTTGCGCCACCTGTAGTGTCGTCATTTACTGTTGCGTCTGCTGCTGTGGTCTCCTTTACTGTTGCTTCAGCTGTTGTGGCCTCATTTACTGTTGCGTCTGCTGTTGTTGTCTCATTTACTGTCGCGTCAGCTGTAGTGGCCTCATTTACTGTTGCGTCTGCTGCTGTGGTCTCTTTTACTGTTGCTTCAGCTGTTGTGGCCTCATTTACTGTTGCGTCAGCTGCAGCTGTTGTCTCATTTACTGTTGCGCCACCTGTAGTGTCGTCATTTACTGTTGCGTCTGCTGCTGTGGTCTCCTTTACTATTGCTTCCGCTGTTGTGGCCTCATTTTCTGTCGCGCCAGCTGTTGTGGTCTCCTTTACTGTTGCGTCTGCTGCTGTGGTCTCCTTTTCTGTTGCTTCAGCTGTTGTGGCTTCATTTTCTGTCGCGCAAGCTGTTGTGGTCTCCTTTACTGTTGCGTCTGCTGCTGTGGTCTCCTTACTGTTGCTTCAGCTGTTGTGGCCTCATTTTCTGTCGCGCCAGCTGTTGTGGTCTCCTTTACTGTTGCGTCCCCTGTTGTGGTCTCCTTTACTGTCACTTCGGCAGCTGTGGTCCCCATTACTGCCGCTTCATTTCTCTCACATGCATCCTCAGTATCTGAAAAGGTAGTGATATCAAATATTGCAGCGGGTGACACAGGCGATGTTTGTCATTTTCTTTGGGGGTGCAATGGTAGTCAGTGTAGTTATTTCTTTGTAACTTTGTGTTCATTCACACGTCTTATGGACTGAATCGGGCAACGTTTTCTGAGCTAAAGAGGACGGATCTTCTAAGTTAATTTTCAACGTAGTCTATGAAAAGGTTGTGTCATCTATGAAATTGATACACGTTTCACTGCGTTACATTTAGAGACTATATATACGGAAAACACGAATGCATAGCCATGTAATATAAATACATAATTATATAGTGACACCATTTCTTTGGGAATTTCAATGTGGTTATTGTGGCACGACTAGAATGACTTACGTGGCTTAATGGTTTATGAATATTTACAATGTCTTAACTATCATACCCAAAAAACTTGAATACCAAATAGTATTTTCTTATATCACACATTACTGTCAAATATAAGATAGCTACACGATAAATCGCAAAGGGCCATGAACAAACGAAGGGTGGTATATTTCACGATAAGACTTTGTCATGACGCCATTTCTGGAGATTGGTGCTCGCAACTTGATGACGTCGTATATTGGACGACGTTATTTTTGAGAGGGAAGTGTCCAGTATGTTGTTCCCCATAGATGTAGATGGGCTATACAGATTAACGCAATGGCCGAACGATCGCATCCAAATGTGGGAGAGATATGACAATTGGGATGAGTAGAAACGGTACAGATAATCGACGTGAGGATTGTGTGAATATGCCTACTTTCTATTCACAGAGTCACGAGTAAATATTCCAAAGCTTTTACATTATATCAACACCCTTAACGAGGCTTACATAATGTCAATATCTCATACAAGAAGTAAACGACAACGACTGGTAGTCGATTTTATCTTATTGTAAAACACTGCAGTGAAAATGAACCACTGCACCGCGCACCTCAAGGTTTATCTTCCCTGTAGTGTTTTATTGTGTTTATTATTACAGTAAACTACGGTTATAACGAACACGCTTATAACGAACTGACTGATATAACGAACTTATTTTTTAGTCCCGGCCATTTGTTGTATATATGCTGCATATATGCTTATAACGAACTACGGTTATAACGAATTAAAATTGGTGGTCCCTTTGAGTTCGTTATAACCGTAGTTTACTGTACTCCTAATTATCCATTGTCGAGAAATATGTTTACCTGACGGGACACCGACGTCAGCTCTTGAAGTCAGTGGGAAGGAGAGACTTGAATGTATAGAAATACTCACAAACACCAGATGGGAAATGAGCATGACTGTACCTTATTCAGGGATGGCTGAAAAGACATGGAACATATTAATAACCAGACGTTCGTACATCATAACTAAAACATTGGCGGATGTTATATGGGTGCATGCATAAATGAGTGAGTGAGTTGGGTTTAACGCCGCTTTTAACAATATTCCAGTTATATCGCGGCGTGTCAGCTTGATGTGGAAGGAAAGCCCGAGGTGATGCTGGTTTCAGACGCTTACCACTTCGGTGAAACCCACGAGCACGGGTATGGCGCTAACAAACCTAGAAACCTAATTGGGGCGAACCGGGATTCGAACCTACAATCATAGGTTTCTGGCGTGCCCAAGGGACTCAACTCTGCAAAGCAAATCGCGGCGCCTTAGACGACTGGGCCACCCGTGCCCCCGGTGCATGCATAGTAAATACAGACGTTGAACATTGACGTTGTTTGTTATGTTCATCAATGAACTGGCAAGGGATATAGAAGTATCATGTGGCATGGAATACAACTACATCCTGATCTTGTTCAACTTTTTTTGTTATTATTTGCTGATGATATCATTTTGGTGTCTGGTAGTGTGTATGGACTTCGGCAACGTATTAATACATTTAAATTGTTTTGCGATGAATAGAATTTATATGTAAATTTAGAGAAAACAAAGGTGTTTGTTTTTAAAAGAGGTGGTGCCTTATCTAGGCATGAGAAATGTTTGGTTTTTTTTATGGAGTCAAGCTCAATTGTGAACTCCTAAAAATATTAAGGCTTAACATTTAATAGCTCATTATCATGGGGTGAACATGTAAAGGATGCAGTGCTACAAGCAACGATTACTATTATTTGGAGTACTTAAAGTTTTAGCAAAGCTGAAGCCGTTATCGTTTAATACTTAATTAGAATAACTCCTATAATGTTATATGGGTCAGACATATGGGGCTTGAGTCCTGAAATTTGTAACGAAATTGATGGCGTACATTAGATTGCTTGTAAGCGATTTTTAGGAGTTCGAAACGCAACCTCAAATCATGTTGTGAGAGGTGAATGTGGGCGTTATCCGCTGTATATCTATGAGTGTAAAAGAGCTGTTAAATACTGGTGTAATATTGTGAAAATGACAGATTCATGATATATCAACAAAAGGTATAACATACAACTTCAGGCGCTGGTACAAATGATAAAATTAACTGGGCTTCATAAATCAGAAGTATTATTCAGCTAACAGATTTTGGCCTTGTGTGGGAGCACCAATGTATTACAAATATCCCCATGTTTATAAATTAATTTCAATGTAGATTAAAATCTTCAAATGAACAAGCCTGGAATGCAAATCTTTCGGAAAGCACTGCGTGATATACCTATTCGTTGTATGAGCAAACGTTTGGCCTGGAAATATATATTACTATGTTACCCCAAGAGAATTTTCGACTTGCTCTGGCTTGATTACGGCCTAGTTCCCATCGTCTTCGGATCGAATCTGGTAAACACAAAATGGAACCTAGAGTCGATCGAGTTTAATTATAGTTATGCAAAATACAGTTATGTTGACGATGAGTACAGTTTTATTCTAATATGCAAACTTTACCAGATTCAGAGGGCACAATTTATGCCAAAAAATATTTTGAATTTCCAACAAGGCAAAAGTTCAAACATTTTAATGTCATCTGTCCATCAAGCAAATGTATAAAGTCTATCTTTGGTCATTGCTAAAGCCATGTATCTTAGACAATCATTGTTAAATACATAAATGTGATCCTCGAACTTCCAGTGTACATTTTCCGTTTGTATCATGGGCCTATGGCCTACAATACATTTGATTAAAGAACCAGTGAACATTAATGTTTAAATATCTGAGAATGAGGGAAATGAATGTCTGTTATTTCAGCACTATCTCAATAAAGGCCTCACAGTATATGATTTAATGGGAGTTACATACATGTCCCTTATGAGGTGAGGTAAAATTGGGTTTATTGCATTTATATAGCGACGCGCATGCATGTAATGAATGCCCTGCTCAGGTACAGTAATGAATGCCCTGCTCAGGTACAGTAATGAATGCCCTGCTCAGGTACAGTAATGAATGCCCTGCTCAGGTACAGTAATGAATGCCCTGCTCAGGTACAGTAATGAATGCCCTGCTCAGGTACAGTATACTGACTCCGAGCCGACAAGCCCTGGTTTAGGCCCTTACAGCGAACGTCAATAATACCAAAACATGTTAACTGTGACCATGTTTATAATTAAGAACAGAGTGAGTAAGTCATAATTAATAGTCATATAGTGATCATGAAGGGAACAGTATGCTAAATGTACTATAAAACATGACAGGAAAGGTTGACATATATCACATTGCGAATATAGAAACCTTACCGGGTCTAGATAGTAAACAACATCCTCTGTTCATATATTAAGTATGCTGCGTTTAAACATGTCACCAAATTACTACAAATATAATGAACCGTGTTTGTAAAATATCTACAAAAAGAAAACTTACACAGACAAATCAACGTTAATCAACGGACATTTACAACAGTTTACAATACGACATAAATCTCAGACAATTTTAACTAACTACTTACTGTTATGAGTAACCAACTTGTCTCAAATTGAGCACTAGCGGGTCAGTACATACACACATTTCCAAACAATACATTTTGGCGTAGGCAGCGAAATAAGCGCCGAATTATGCCTTATATGGTGAACATTAATTCGGAATACTTACACGGAGACTCACGTCATCAGCTGTTCTATTACACAGTTGTGTCGTTGTACGTTGTAGGTTATATGGATTTGGCAACACATGGCAGTGGACACAAATGGTGATCAATACCAATGAAATTTAGAGTCGACCAATCTGTTGTGATGTATGTGTAAGATCAATGTAAATTGGTTACGCTTTGTCCGCTTCAATCGTTAGACGTTGCTAAAACAGTGTTTTGGCTGGTGAGGCTTTGTCATGTGTACTGTGTCCACATTCCCGTTATGTTTTCCAGTGCATACTCTAATAATCACTTGTACCTTCTCTCTCTCTCTCTCTCTCTCTCTCTCTCTCTCTCTCTCTCTCTCTCTCTCTCTCTCTGTCTCTCTCTCTCTCTCTCTCTCTCTCTCTCTCTCATAGTACAGAATATATATAGTAAGTGGTGGCTTAACAGTAACTCATTAAGATGTCTCACCGGCTCCAACTGGGGAGCCTCCAAAGATACCCCCCTCTCACTATATACAACACTAATTAGATCAAAACTAGACTACGGCTGCGCCATATACAATACCCTAAACAACTCTCTAACTAAAAAACTTGACTCAATACAATACCAGCCCTTAAACTAATTACACGCACCCAACATGGCACCTCCTACACCTCACTTCAGGCCCTTACAGGAGAAATGCCACTAAATCTACGCAGGGAACATCTAAGCCTTAATTTCTGGGCCGCGTCCCAAACAAACCCTCTCATCCAAAGCCTAATTAACCAAAACATTAGCCCAAGAAACCAAGCTCTAGCTCG